TCCTGACTTCAAGGGATCTGCCCACCTCGGCTTCCCAAAGTGCTGGGATTACAGGTGTGAGCCACCGAACCCAGCCATTTCTTAATCCTTCTGAAAGCTCCTTAGTATTCTCTTAAATATATTTTCTCCTGTTAATGGTGGTTGAAGACTTCAAGTTATGCCTCTGGGAAATTGGGAAATTTGGAAGAGTCAGCGTTTACTTGGTCCTCTCACAGGTTATCATCAGCCACGACAGAGTCAAGTCCTTGGTATTTTACTCAGCATCCCTTTAACCCAGCTGCCCTTTAAACCGTTTGCTCTTATTAATAGCAGTCTTTGTAAATAAAACAGTGATAAAGGATTCTTCAGTTGTTTCCCATGTGTTTTATACCAGATCCGGAGCCAGCCTTCTGTCTTCTCCTTTACAAATCTCCCCCATACAGTTCTACTCCCCTCACCCTAGTTCACAACACTATGTGAAGTTACAATATCCTGCATTTAAAAAGTCACCTGTTGTTTTCTGCAAATCAACAACCACCGAGGCATTGGGAAAAAAAAAAAAATCAAATGGTAACAAAGAAGAGATCTGGACTGAAAAATATTCTACTGCCAGAGTCCCATCTCCATCCAGCCAGTAGAGATACAGGTTCAGGCAGGCTTACTGCTCAGCAAGGGCAAGCCCAAAGCTGGGAAGAGGTGGCAGGAGGTAACTGGCATCTAACCCTTCCTGCTCTCCAGGGAGTACAACCACAAGCACTAAGGAGCTAAGTGCCATCATCATGGTGGATAGATTTGCTGTTCTTGGCCTTAAACTCTTCCATGGGAAAACAATTGAGAGAGTTCTGTGGACGCTGGTCCTACTGAGAACAATACTCTTCCATAGATGCCTTTGTACTAAAGCTGGGTTTCAGAGACCGTATAGATTGTCGCTTCAGTAAAGCACTACCTTAAGAGAACAGAATACAAAACCATCAAAAAGTGGTTTGGTTCATTTATAAGAATGGAAGTTTTTGCAACAGCAGAAGTAACCAAAAAGTAGGCCAGGCGCAAAAATAGTAACCAGCTCAATTCATTTTTATCAGCTTATGTTTTACTCTGGAGGATTCCATTTTGGTGATGGTGACCTCTACATGTGGACTTCTACAAATAAGCCCCTAAGAAGGGTCCCCTCTTTTTTCCCCATCTTATAAAGAGCATACTCCAGCCCTTAACTCCGGTACTATACAGTGTTTAACAGAAGTAAAAACTAGTTTATGTGAAAAATCAGAACAAACATCATCGAGTATCTACTCTGAGCCTAGCACAGAGCCTGTTGCAGCTGTATGGAGATAACTAAGACACACTCTCTACCCTCGAATAGCTCACCATCTGGCCCAAAGACAGACATGCAAAGAGACATCAGTAACACAGTGAGAGGTGCTGTGTCTGTGCAGGCCTTCACGAGGGCATGGAGGAAGAAGCGGCCAGCTCCGCCTGCAGAGTGGGAAAGGCTTCCCTGGAGGGATCTTGAAAGATGGAGAGGAATTCACTGGATGGGCAGCATGTTAGGTGGGACCAGGGGGATGCAAGCAGAAGTAGCACATGGGCAAGGTCTTCAGGACAGAAACAGACTGAGTGCTGGAGGACTGGCCAGTAAGTTAAAATGGCTAGAGCCTAGCTGTGAGAGGGATGGCAGCAGGAGGTAAGCTTGGAGAGGTGAGCAGAGTCCAGATTGTGGGGGACTTGGATGTCATCAGAGGGCTTGCACTTTATCCTGTGGGCCATAGGGAGACACTGTGGGGTTCTAAGCAGAGGCCTGGTATGATCAGAATTGTGCTTTGGAAAGATTTCTCCAGTAGATATGCCCTCATAGCCAGCACATTTGTGAAAGCTTCTCTGATCACGTTATTTAATTCAGAATCTCAAGATACCTGTATCTCCTTGTGTATTTTTGTCACAGTATGCTGATTTTATCTTCTTCCTTTTCTTGTGCACACACATGCAGCATGCCTTAATGCCCATTACCGTCCCTATAATCTACTCCTTCCCTTGCACAGAAGCTTTCAAATTGCTGGATATGATGAAAAACTGGAATTAGGACATAATTTTAACAATTGGTCAACATGCAACTCCCCAGCCTCAGAAGACAGTTCAATTTGCCGGGAAGGCCCAGGCATTTATCTGATTTCCCGGTGTTTCTTGCTAAGCCAAATTCCAAACAGGCCAAGGACTTTGTTGGTGTCTACTTCTCTTCACACCAGTGCTTGATGCAACCCCAGTGACTGAAGAAATGTTAAGCCACCTGGTGAGCAATCTCACATATGAAGATGGAAATCATAAAGGACACAGAAAAGAAGGAAGAGGCCAAGTTAATGAATAATTTCACTTCAGTTGTCCAACTACTTAGATGCGAGGGTCACTTGAGGTCAAGAATTCGAGACCAGCCTGAGCGATATAGTGGGACCCACCTCAAAAAAAAAAAAAAAAAAAAAATGGTCCAAATAGCTCAAGTCCCTGCCTAACACATCTCTACATCTCTGCTTTTCTTTTTTGACAAGTCCCTGTCAACTTAACATTTGACATCCAGTCATGGACATGGTGTTAGAGACAGCAGTGGAGACAGAGAGGGAGGTGGTGGTAATGAAGGGGATGGTAGGAGGTGAGCAATGGTGGTGAGGGAGGTGGTGGACCCAAAGTAGTTGATCACATGACAGGATTCCAACTAACTACCTTCTTCAAACAACGCACGTAAACACGAAGCTTTTTATCTAGAAAAACGATCTAACTTAGTAACTCTACCAGTGGGTTGCTATGAGAAGCAATTGACACGATATACTTAAAGCCCTAGAACTTTGCCGGCCATGTAGTCACTGTTGAAAGAGTGCCAGCAGTGATGTTGTCTTGATTTCAAATTCTTATTCAGCCTGGGAGAAATAAGGTCCAAGGAAGAATGAAGGCAGCCTCAAAAATGTGTCTACAAGAGGAGAGAATGAGAGCAGAATCTACGCTGGCTCACCTCTTCCCACAGCAATCTCCTTTAACCAAAGAAGAACCCATCTACTGAAACACAGCTGAGTGCACCGAGCTGGGTGGTATAGGTCCGTCAGCACTCCACCTGTCTGAACTGGTCTGGTTATTACCAAACCTCAGGCGAGGACTGGGAAAATAAGCCCACTAAAACATCACAGCCGCAGCCCAGCTGATTGATTTTCACCTTCAGAATAAGAAGCCTGAATATCCAGGATCTACACTGCATGGGCTACCTCGGGAGAAAGCAAGCATTGTCTCCAAATGCAATTTAAAACCTTTTCTTCTTTTTCCTTTTTCCTTAAAAACAAGATACCATCTGCTAATGCAATCACTAATTAGGGAGGGAGAGTTAATCTAGCTTCCTAACAACAAACTCAAGAGGAGACTGAGTTTCAGGACCATGACTCCTGCTCGAAGAAGCCGAGTGGGACAGACACAGTGCTGCCGGCTGGAACTGCAGGGAGCTTCAGAGGCCGGGGACCCAGTTCCTTCCCCTCCCTCTAATCTCATAAACCAGAAGTGCTCAAACTCAATGTATTATTTTTCCCCTCACATTTTTCATAATGGAAAAAAAAAACCGCTGTTAAAGTTTTGAATTAAGAAAGAGCTGCCATCTGGGTAATTGAATTCTGCTTGAAGCAGGCCACCTGGTTCACATCAGCGGCTCCTGGCAGGTATGGAAGTGTCAGCTAAGGTCCTGCATTGACTTCTAAACACAGGCTCACTTTCCCTGAGCAGTGGAGAAACCTTAATTTCAAAATAGTGAAAGCGGTTTTATATCAGGTTACCTCAATGCATGGTAGATTTCTTAGGCTGCAGACACGTAAAATTGTAGCAGTGATGATTGGTCTGGTCCACTCCTAGCCACATGCTGCCTTAAAAAAACAAAAATTGCAAAACCAGTTCCCTTTGGCTTCCTGTTTGGACATCCATGTCACCGAAACATGTGTGGCTTCAATCACCTTGCTCTCCTAGAGGATTCAAGAGGCTGAGTGTTTCCAGCTCCTCCGATAGTGGAGAGAGGAGAGGGCAGCCTGGGAGAGATGTCAAGGATGTAGCTCAGGTTTGGGTGCCAAATCCTATCCTTCTCTGCTGCCTTCTTCATTGCCAGTTACTCCCGTTCCTCCAGGGGAGGTACAATCATGCAGCAGCAACGGTTTGCGGAAGTTGCCGACCTATTCCCCTCCCTCAGACTCTCCCCTACGAAGAAAAATGGAGTCAGGAGCTTTGCATGCATCCCACCCCCCGCCCAGCCAGAGCTGTCTGGGCCAACAATGCTGACCATCCACGTGCACAGCCAGAGCCGATGGTCTGTTTGGTTTGCCAGGATAACACACAGCATAAAACAGAGCTGCTCTGAACTTGGGTGGTCTTGAGCAAGTCCTCTGAGTCCATTTTCCATGTGTCTGAAATGTCTGCAGCAGAATTGAGTGCAATTGGGAGCTTCCCTGAGGCAACACTGGATTCAAGAATTGGGGGTAGCTATGCATGGGATAGAACTCTTGTTCACAAGTAGGTTGGGTTTTACAAAGCTCCACACTGAGCTTACGGAATGAGAATTCTACACCAGAAATAATCTGGTCTCCCCTCCTCTTTTACAGGGTGGGATTGATGCTGAGTGGGTACACGTGATTTCTCCAGGGTCACAGAGCTGCTGCTGAATGTGCGACATCCCCAGTCCCTTCTCTTTCCACTGCACCACACTGTTTCCTTAGCTTCAGGGCCACCAGAAAAGAGCCAGGAGAGCAGAAATGTTTTGCTTCTAAACAAAAAAATGAGGCTTATCCAAAACATGTAATTTAAAAGACCAGCTCTTTTCAAACAGAATTTTCCATGATGCCCTGGGTACTTATATAAGTCACACACACACACACACACACACACACACACACACATAGTTTTCAAGTTGGGATAATTCGTGGAATCATCTTCCTTTTAACAAAATGATATCAAGATAAAAGTATTGTTATTATTATCATTATTTTGAGATGGAGTCTTGCTCTGTCACTCAGGCTGCAGTGCAATGGTTCGATCTCGACTCACTGCAACCTCTGCTTCCCGGGTTCAAGTGATTCTCATTCCTCAGCTTCCCAAGTAGCTGGGATTACAGGTATGTGCCACCACACATAATTTTAGTAGAGATGGGGTTTTGCTGTGTTGGCCAGGTTGGTCTCAAACTCATGGCCTCAAGTGATCTGTCTACAGCCTTGGCTTCTCAAAGTGCTGGGAATACAGGTGTGAGCCACCACCCCCAGCCTTGTAAGGTAAGATTAAATTAAATTTTTTTTCATGGTGTTTCCAGGCTCAGGATTAGCTCACTCAGCTTCTTTCCTGGGAAGCCACTTCTCCCTCCAATGATGGTCCCCTGGGCCCTGCCTCACACCTGCAGCACAGGGGCTCCTCAGGCTACTGGGTTATATTGCTCAGCTCTACTCCATGGCCATCTTGGCTCCAGTGGAAGCCAAGGAGACCAGGAGGATCCTACAATCAAATTCTGATGAGGACAGGGAGGGGCAATGGCTTGAGGTCGTGGGCCTGGTGTGCGGCTGGAGCAGGCCAGCTCAGATACTGGGGATGGAGAGTGAGGTTAACGCAGCCTCATGTAGCCTGGACCAACTCCCAGCAGGCTCACGTATGCTCCCTCAGCCTCACAACCTCCTTTCCTAATCCAATAAAGGTCCACTTGCCTAAATTTGAAAAAGTGCCATAATATTATTCCATCCACAGTATCCTGTCCTCAGGCATTTAAATTCATGAGCTTCCTCCTCAAAACCAACTTCTGTCCAGTAAGACTCTCAGCAGCGATCTTGAATCACTCACTTTTTTTTTTTTTTTTTGAGACAGAGTTTCGCTTTTTTTACCCAGGCTGGAGTGCAATGGTGTGATCTCGGCTCACCGCAACCTCCGCCTCCTGGGTTCAGGCAATTCTCCTGCCTCAGCCTCCTGAGTAGCTGGGATTACAAGCGCGCGCCACCATGCCCAGCTAATTTTTTGTATTTTTTTAGTAGAGACGGGGTTTCACCACGTTGACCAGGATGGTCTCGATCTCTTGACCTCGTGATCCACCCGCCTCGGCCTCCCAAAGTGCTGGGATTACAGGCTTGAGCCACCGCACCCAGCCGAATCACTAACATTTTAAGCCTCTGAGACAGTATTGTCTCTTCATTCTCCTCCTTCTTGCCAAATGGGCAGTATCCCAACTCTCCTGGTTCCTTGGCCCACTCTTGCTTCTCTCTCTGATGCCACGGCATCCTTCTAGCCACATCTCTAAGGTAGAAGATCCTCTTCTCCTGGCTCTAATCAGATAAGGCTCCATCTTCCCACATCTGGATCCTTGCTTAGAGTTCAAAAAACTCAGCTTCTCCATGCTTTGGAATAGGGTGGTGGCGGGAAAAGTACTGATTCTAGGTCCACTCGCTGGACAGGGATGCAGGGAAGCTGGAGGGACCTGGAATCCCAGTACTGTAGGGACAGGGGCTATTGCCTGAGCAGCAAAACTCCCCTCTTTCAACACAGGCATCAGAGATTCCTTAGGTAACCTCATTTTCCTCGTCCAGGCTCCCCCATTGATGATAAAAGATTAGGTTTTTGTAGGAGACCCATATTGTGATTTTTCCTGGGTACTCCCACAACCTCTACAAACATCAAGGAAACAGGTCTCTCCTAGGTACTTTTTTTGAGGGTATTGGAACGTTGGCCAAATATAAAATATCCAACAATACTGCAGTACATTTCTGGAAACCACATGGAAAATCCTAAAACTGATCTTACCCGTGGGATCTGTGTTATAATTGGATGTTGCATTCTTGACCAAAGACTTGGCATCAGATAAATCACAGATACTAAATATGTCATAGAGGCAAAGATTCACAAAGATTCACAGTTTAAATCAGTAGTTCCCAACCCTGGCTGAGCCTTAGGATTATCAAAAGAGATTTTTAAAAATGCCAATGCCTGCACCTCATTTGGGAATGGTTAAAGCCAAATCTCTATGGGTGGGTCCAAGTAACCAACCTTTTTTTTTTGTTTGTGTATTAAGAGCCAGGACCAAGCCGGGCTCGGTGGATCACGCCTGTAATCCCAGCACTTTGGGAGGCCAAGGCGGGTGGATCACAAGGTCAAGAGATCGAGACCATCCTGGTCAACATGGTGAAACCCCGTCTCTACTAAAAATATGAAAAATTAGCTGGGCACGGTGGCACGTGCCTGTAATCCCAGCTACTCGGGAGGCTGAGGCAGGAGAATTGCCTGAACCCAGGAGGCGGAGGCTGTGGTGAGCCGAGATCGTGCCATTGCACTCTAGCCTGGGTAACAAGAGAGAAACTCCGTCTCAAAAAAAAAAAAAAAAGAGCCTGGACCAAAAGAAACACATAGTTGTCATTTGGCACTTCAGAAAGAGAAAAGAGCCGCTTTAAAGTAAGTGAAAAGATTTACTGATTCACCAAATGGAAATTCAGAGACCCCACATCTGATGAATGTGCCGTCATCTCACACGGCGGAGAGGCAGTACGTATTGCATGTGCCGTCCACCAGGTCCGAAGGTGAAGTAGTGCTCCCAGGTGCAATGTTCTAAGGCTAATGACTAGTGAGTTAATACGTATTTACAAAGATTTCATGATGAGCATAATGTCTCCGTATTGAGGACTTGTTTAGGAGTCATTGGAAAAAAATAGGCAACGTCCCTGTTCTCAAGCATTGTTCAAAGAGACAAGAGCCCAATTATTCTGAAGTCAGGCTTCTGGCAGGGTAGCAACACGGAAACATTGCCCTTTGCTGACAGTAGCATTTGTATCTGAAATGATCTCAACCAGATAGATCTAATGATTTAAAAGTTTTGAAAATCTGGAGCTATATTCCAGGATTCTCCTCTTCCCTTAGAAGGTTAGAGAGAACTGACCCAGGGAAGGGAAGCCTTGGGCTCACTCACACCCTGGGCCTCCTCCAGACACACCCAGTGCAGAGAGGAAAGCAGTCCCACAGGGCCAGCCACCCAGAGACCCCAGGGAAAAAGTACCCCTGCGCATTTCTCACCAGGTTTATGTAAGTAAAGAGGACTATAAACCCTGCCGATCCAGGAGGTTGGTTTCTATTTCAGATTCCAGTTCTTTGCCATGAATTATGGGATTAGAAGCAGGGCATTTCATGATGCCTCAGTATTTCCATTTTAAAATAGAATAGTGTCTATTCCTTACCTACCAAAACAAATACCTTACAGATAAGTAAAGTTCTGTTCAAAGGTATCTGAGCATTATTACAAATATTTTTTTCTGATTTTTAGACTGACATATTTACTAAAGAGAACTCAGAAATTGCAGAGAAATAGTTATATAAGAAAACAAAATTTATCTATAATCACACTCATAATTAAACAGCATTTAAAGCAGCCTACTTCCTGGCTGTGCCACGATTTGTTTATTCATTGTTAGATACACAACGTAGGTATTTTTTAAATTTAAGAGAAGGTTAATAACCCAAGAAATTTTAATTACTATTATTTATAATAATCCATTTGGAGATTTTAAAAATATATGGACATCAACTGGAAATAATCTCAGAAACACAGACAATGAGATTTAAAAGACAATCAAGAGCAATTTTATTTTTAAAGGTCAATTCACTTATAAGAAACACAGAGAACATGCAGTAATTGCCTGTAACTGCATTTCCATTGACTTCCGAGTGGTGATTTTATCTTGAACACCCCCTGCTGGTTTGCCTTATGGTTTTAGCGTTATCACTTTCTTTTTTTTTAAAAAAAATGTGGTTTCATTAGAGCAACATTTTTCCAGTCCTATTCTCTTCATTCTCTCCCTCGAAAAATAAAATGAGAGGGATATGAGCAAAGGAAAAACAGAACAATTGATTATTACTTTATAGAAATTCTCCCCCCACAACTCCAGCCACCACATGTAAAGGAAATAGGCTAGAGACGCACAAGAGAATGAAGAGATACACTCAGGCTTTCTTTTAAGAACTTTGTGGCTTGTTGCATTACTCATCTATTCAAGGCCATTGGCATAGGCTCTATATCTCATATTACTCCACAATAATGATCTGAAAGATAAACCCAGGAATGTGTGGATTCACAGGTCAGGGCCAATGTATGGTCATCCTTTTTTTTTTTTCCGCCAGGGTTACAGGCAGCTCGATTCAAAGCACTGCTTGAGATGGCACTTACCTGAACCGTTGTTTGTTCCATGAACGCATCTTATAGCAAGCTTCCATCCTCTAATTTTACTTCCAACCAGAAAGGTCAGCTCATGCCCATGTGTGATGTATAAACAATTAAGAAACAGCTATTACCTCATTTCTGATAGATCTGGACTTGCTTTGTTCATTCAAATAGCATTTATTGAATGTCCATTCTGTGCCTCGCACGGATGGAGGGACATCCACAAGACAGGTCACATCCCTGTTCCTCTAGAGTTTCCACCCTAGTGGAAGGGATAAATAATAGCAACGCAAGCAAACAAATAAGCAGGATAATATAACACAGTGACCAGCTGGAAGAGGACCGTGAAGCAAGAGGTGGTGGTATGACCGAGTCACTTGGGAGGAGGCGGGTGGTGCAGGGAATGTTTTTGTTAGCGTGGTCAGGGAGGGTGGCTTTTGAAGAAGTGCCCAGTCATTTACCTTCAGTCTTTCAACCTGAGTGTTGCAAGTTTCATTCTCCAAATCCCCTTCCTGCCATGACTCTCATAGCTTAATCTAATGCCTTTCCTCTGTCCTTTCTGCTTTGGGGCCCTGGGAAGGGTTTGCAGGGGCTCCACACCGCCAGCCTTTCTCATGATAGCCTACTTCTTACAAATCTACATTCACTTTACAATCATCTTTCATCCCAGTATCTCCCTTAAGGAAATACAAGATAAGGTTGGAAATAAAAGGGATCCCTGTTTGTTTCAATTATATTTTTAAATGTGCATATTTGCATTTGAATACAGATAATTCTATTGTGCTATTTGAGATTCTGCTAAAATCATCTCTTTGCAGAGGAAAAGTATTGCATCATCCACAGTAGCTTTCACCCTCACACAAAAGACCAGATTTTCAGAGAAAACGTGTCTTGGGCTGCTTTAGGAAGTCCAGGGCCAGTGATGGTTTTCAGGCTGCTGAGAACTTCCTTTTTAAGCCACAAGTGATGAATGCACATGTTATCTGGAGACATGATGATACATTTTCTTTGATGTCCTTGACTGGAGTAACTGGTAGTAATTTTTAATCACTGGAACAGTTTTTGGAGTTTATAATGCTTTCCTGCCATTACTCTTCCCTTGGCTGTAGCTGATTTAAGCATTTCTTGCTTCTAGATTAAAATAGCAGGGCATTGGTCCCATGTGTCAAACTCTGTGTATGATAAATCTATTTTCTCTTTGCATTTTTGTGACAAGCTCATTAATCATGTGTTAGGAATGGGGAAGATGAGATTCAGAGAGTTTATGGCCTGGCTCAGAGTCAGAGGTACAGAAGAGATTTCACTCAAGTCTTTTTATTTCAGTTCAACTGTGTACCACCTCTCAGGCTGCAGCTGTCTCCTTCCAGCGCTCAACTAGGTCTTTAGGAAAGTAATATGAAATCGAGTATTCAGGTAACCATCTTAATGAAGATTCCAGTTTCACTAGGACCACTAGTTACCAATGGAACAAGACACTGAATATATGCATGAATATATAGATATTAAATATGATTACAAACAAGAGGGTACATCCCTCAGGTGTTGGCTCCCTCTCCTCATATGCAACCTTGAAGAGACCACGGGGGTACGAATATGAAATATAGCATGAATTTATAAAATGGTATATAAAGATATAATTTACTGAAACGTCAACAGTGTCTGGTATTATAGTAATAAAGAATGTATGAATCTTTACTGAAAAAAATTAGCTCCATTGCTCTATTAAAGGAAAAAAGAAAAGACCTAAAAACATGACTAGGGCAATTTATTATTGCTATTATGCCATTTGTCCCCAGATGGTTTTATATATTTCATGACAGTTCCAATCAAAATCACAGTAGGAATTTCTGAAATTATGGTAAACTGATTTTACATTTTATATGAAAGAGTAAAGGCTCTAGAGGAACTAAGCAATTTTGAAAAAGAACAAAAGAATAGAACCATTTTACTAGAAAATGAGATTTGAGAAAGATATAGTAACTGAAGTTACAAAGTTTAGGTGCAGAATGAGCAAAGAGACCAAAGAGAAAAATGAAAAGTCCGGGCCTGGCGCGGCGGCTCACGCCTATAATCCCAGCACTTTGGGAGGCTGAGGCGGGCGGATCACGAGGTTAAGAGATCGAGCCCATCCTGGCCAACATGGTGAAACCCTGTCTCTACTAAAAATACAAAAAAAAAAAAAAAAAAAAAAAAAATTAGCTGGGCGTGGTGGCGCATGCCTGTAGTCCCAGCTGCTTGGGAGGCTAAGGCAGGAGAATTGCTTGAACCCGGGAGGCGGAGGTTGCAGTGAGCCGAGGTCGCGCCACTGCGCTCCAGCCTGGTGACTGGTGACGGAGTGAGATTCTATCTCAAAAAGAAAAAGAAAAATGAAAAGTCCCCAAATCAAACTGTGCATCTATGAAAAATAAGTAATGATGGGGACAGCTTTACAAGTGCATAGGAAAAGAAAAGGTCATTTAGAAAATACTTCAGAGAAAAATGTTTCTATAGGGAGAAAAATACAGTTAAATCCCTATAGTGACCCATCTAAAAAAAAGCTCTAATGGATGAATTTCAAAATGTGAAAGGCAACCTACAAAGTTAGTAGAAGAAATGTAGGGGAATATCTGTTTGCCCTTGGGTGGTAGAGAAATTATTAAATAAAGCCTCATATTCTCAAGCTGTCAAGAAACAAATTGATGAATTGTGCAATAATCAAAACTGAAAGGTTCGATGAAGGGCATCGCAAACACAGTTAATAGTGACAAGTGACTAGTGACAGTCTAAAAGTCTTCGTAATTCCTAAAACTTTCAAGGTATCAATAGCTAGAATGTACAGGAGATTCATGCAAATCAGTAATAAAAAAAAGATAGAAAAAAGTGATAGAAAGAAAGACAATGGATGTGGATAGGCAATTCACAGAAGGGGAATCCTGAGTAATTAATAATCTCAATATTCAACCTAATGATCAGTCAGAGAACAGCACAACAGAGCACTATTAAGACGGTACTTCACATCCATCAGATCAGCGAAAACTATACAGTCAGACAACACCAAGTGCTATTGAGTGTAAGTTGGAACAAATCCTTTGCCCTACTGGTATGGGAAGGTAAATTACTGTAGCTCTTCCAGAAAGCAATATGGCAATTTTTATAGAAATCACGTATCTATGATCCTATGACTCAGCAATCTCCTTCCTGAGTCCATGCCTCAGAGAAACTGTCCATAAGTGGAAACTAAAAATTTCTCTTGAGAGGCCGAGGCTGGTGGATCCCTTAAGGCTAGGAGTTCAAGACCAGCCTGGTCAATATCGCAAAGCCCCCCCTCTACTAAAAATACAAAAGCTAGCTGAACATGGCAGTGCATGCCTGTAGTCTCAGCTACCTGGGAGGCTGAGGTAGGAGAATCACTTAAACATGGGAGGCAGAAGTTGCAGTGAGCCAAGATCATGCCTCTGCCCTCCATCCTGGGTGACAGAGCAAGGCCTTGTCTCAAAAAAAGGAAAGAAAATTTCTCTCTATGGACAGTTTCTCTGATCCTCATATTAAATAGTAAGTACGGTAAATTTGCAAGGAGGTTCATGAAAGAGTTTTTCAGGATAAGGGCCCATCCTGAAGTACATGGATGATTTTTGGTGTGTGTATTTGACAGAAAAGGGTGCAGCAGGCAGAAGTATTAAATCAGGTTGACATGTAACACATGGATATCTCTGAAAAGCTTGATGTTGAAGGAATTAAAGTTAGAAGTCAAGTAAGATTTCCAGTACAATGTAATTTATGTAATTTAAAAGCATAGATATATAAACACTTTCTTATGGTACGCATTTATCTAAACAAACATTTGCAATGTGGACTGGAAGAACACACATAAAATATACTAGAGTGGGTGTCGGAGAAGGGAGGGAATCGAGAATTGAGGCTGGAGGGTGAAAAGGAGAAAATGAAACAAAGAGGGGCCCTGCAGGAAATAGGAAGATTAGAGGAGTGATTCAGCACTGCATAGAAACTCCCTAGGAGGGAAAGGTCAGAGTGGTTTGGGAAGATCCAAAGGGCTTTTCAAGGAAGAGTTGGAATGTGAACGGTTATGGGTAAAGTAGTCAGTACATAAAGATGATGGTAAATCCCTTCCAGAATCTCCAGAGGAAAAGTCTCACTGAGAGTGAAATTAAAAAGAATCAAAATGCAATAGAAAATCCTACACAGGCATGTCTACATTTCAGTAACATTGTATATACTTTCTTTTCTCATCAACCTTGTTCTTTTAAAAGGAAATCTGTTAAAAGTGGCTACCAGCATTATGCAAAGCTGAACGGAGGTGCTTACCTTTAACAGCCCTTCGTGTATGTATTAGAGATACATATGTTAATCATGAAAAATGTAAATATGGAGTCTTATATGTCTTCGACATTAGTTTTATTCTTGAGGTGCTTATTTTTAACAAACTTTCTTTTTTTTTCTTTTTTCTTTTTTTTTGATACAGGGTTTCACTGTCACCCAGGCTAGAGTGTAGCAACGATCTTGGCTGACTGCAACCTCCACCTCCCAGGCTCAGGTGATCCTCCCACCTCAGCCTCCCGAATAGGTGGGATTACAGGCATGCTCCACCACAGCCAGCTAATTTTTTGTATTTTTTGTAGTAATGGGGTTTTGTCATGTTGCCCAGGTTGGTCTCAAACTCCAGGGCCTAAGCAATCCACCTGCCTCACCATCCCAAAGTCCTGGGATTACGGGCATGAGCCACTGTGCCCAGCCATCGACAAGCTCATGCATTGTAATTGACTCATTGTGTTGCTTACGAAAAAGTATAAATTCATTTTGATTCGGAAGAACGCAGAAGGCTGAGTGTGGTGGCTCACACCTGTAATCTCAGCACTTTGGGAGGCAGAGGTGGACAGACCACTTGTGCTCAGGAGTTCAAAACTAGCCTGGGCAATATGGCAAAACTCCATCTCTACAAAAAACATAAAAATTAGCTGAGCATGGTGGTTGTGCACTGTAGTCCCTGCTACTTGGGAGGCTGAGGTAGGAGGATCACTTGGTCCCAGGAGGTCAAGGCTGCAGTGAGCTGTGTTTGTGCCACTGCACTCCAGCCTAGGTGACAGAGTGAGACTCTGTCTCAAAAAACAAAACAAAACAAACAGAAAATATAATGGTTAAAAATCTACCTTCTTAGTTATTTTGACATCCAGAAGGGAGTTGCAAGGTAGGTAAAATAAGATGGCAGAATTAAGATAAAATATTACTTGTGTAGGTAACCATATGGACCTAAAATGACAAGATAAAATTCAACAGGGATAAATGTTAGCTCCAGCATTTAAATTCAAT